CACACACACACACACACACACACACATGAACGTGCACTCAAACGTGCACACTCGCTGTAAAAACGCCTCATGTGTTATTTATGCTGTGTGCTCATCATTAGCGTTTGCGCACAGACGAGTTTATTTTTTTATATTTTACAGATGCATACATGTGCAGGGAGCTTTTCTGTCAGCATGAAACCATCCCAGAGAGGGGACCAGAAAAGTCCACACAAAAACAGTGTTGTGTGTGTGTTTGCAGTCAACAAAATGATTTCTGCTTGTCTGAGTCATGCCTATTAACCGCAAAAGCTATCATTAGGGTGAGGTGTGAAACACACCTAAAAACACAGAGACAAAATAAAAACCTTATCGTGTGTGTGTGTGTGTGTGTGTGTGTCATTATACCTTACTGAATAAGGTGCAATAATGTAGACAGCAAAAACAGGACCAGTACTGATGTGTCATTAAAGAAACACTGCCCTCTAGTGTTGAGTTTCTGTCAACACAAGCTCAGAGGACCAAGCAAAGGTCTTCTGTGTGGAGTGGACAGAGAGTATAAGGAAGATTTTGATTCTCTGTCAGACAAATAAGTGAGTTTATGGAATCTAAAAGCATTAATGGGTGAGGTAGAGGAAAACTGTAGTCACTGTTCAGGATGTCATGTCGTGACCTGACACCTTGGTACCAACTCGACACCAAAATTCTGAAAAGTACTTATTTTCTGTGATACCAGAAGTACCAAAACTGTCAAAGGGATCAGTCCAGGCAGAATTCCAGATATGTGCTGGTGTAGTATCTCAGATTTTTTTACTTATTTGTGTCTCAAACCTAAGTTCTTTAAAATATTTTGGCTAAAACCTGTAAATTGCATGTTTTAAGACCTGGACACTTTTGTATTTTCACCCCCAAAATGTCAAACCTGGAAAGCCCAAATATGGATACACCAATATATATATATATACACTTAGAGCAACACCACCCTCCTTCAAAAACGTTGCCAATAATCAGACATGTGGAAAATGCTGGAACCATTAGACAATTTGGATCTTCTGTAAACAACGTTATCTGTGAGCTCACTAAATTCCATGGCTGTGAGAGACCCTGAACCCATTTTTGAAAGTGAAAAAACAATAATAGCAACATCTGAAAACTATGAAATTCTCAAAATTTAGCCAATATATTTTACAGAAGTGGCCGAGAATTGAACTGATGCAAATTGACCTACAGGTACTCTACAAGAGATTGTGATTTTTATGGAAATGAGGTCTGCAAGTGCATTCAGAGCAAGAGGTCGATTGTGTCTTGTCGTAAAAGAACATCTCAAAAGTCACGCAGGGAGATGTTAGTGTTTGAGTCGATGATCAGGTATGGAAGGTATAAACAAATAAAAGTCTGTAAATGGTGTCATCACATTCAGAACAAACAGATAAAACACGTCAACAAAGGAGCTTAAAGACAGACATCCAGATCCACAGAATTCAGTTAAAAATGTTGGTTGTTACTTGATATTGCCAACATGTTATCACAATGGTCACATCTGAAATGTCATCGTTATGGGTTGTGAACTGTGACAGCTCCATGTGTTGTGGCAATGCTGCACATCCAGTGTTCACAAGGGCTAACTAGTGTAGGCTGACAGCTCATGATGCAAACTGGACGGGTGGTGGTGCTAATAGCCATTCAGTCTGTCAACATATAGCATGAGTTAGCTTGCAATGTGCAGTAGCCCCTGTTGTCTTCCTAATGCTCCTATTACAGCATCGGCCTGAGGAGGATGTTGAGCAGGTGAGATGGGAGCAAAGTCAACCAACAGACACACGGACACAGACATGGACACAGACATGGAGACGGAGACGGAGACGGACATAAACAACTATATCTGAAGCTTGTCAGAGGCTCAGAAATACCTGAAGGGAAAATGCTATAACATAATAAAATAGTTGATTGGTGTATTGTTTGCTGTGGTATCAAACTTGGCATTGAAAATTTAAAAATTTCAGTGGTATTCTAACACCCTACCAGAATTTTGGTACTGTGACATGCCTGGTCATTGGAAAACATTTCAAATAATTGGAAGTTTAGCACAAATCACTCAAATTCCTTCTAACAACATCCAGCAATGCACTTCTATAAAGTTGGGGGGGACACACAGGAGACGGATGCACAGAGAAATGGTCTAAATCTCAGGTCTGTCTTTAGATCCTTCCAGACTATTTTCAAACCCCAAACCTTCAGTTTCTTGCCTAACTTAGCTGTGTCTGACAGATATTGTTTTTGTAGTTATTTTGGTATATTTGAGTTCGTTCTTCTAAAGTCATAGAAAACATTACACAACTCTTTACACATAAGTAGTACTTGATATTTAATTACATTACTAATACTTAAATAATTACAACATAATGGTAACACTGATAAAGTTCCTCCTCAGTCGTTGATTAAACCCTTAAAAACTTATCTCCTAATCAAAGTTGCGCATTTAGATGTTTTTTTCCATTAAATTGTGATCCTGTCCTGCCATAAAATGCCATAGATGTAACTCCTTTGCTTAGGTTTCTTACAAATGAAACCCAGAAGTCTGAATCTGTGTTTCTGAAATCATCTGGCCTCTGCAGTCTCAGATGGACACGTTCAGTTGTGGTACTAACTGCTCATTTTGTACGGTATGTGTCTTCTACCATATAAAATAGCACCATATAGACACCAGAGGGGGTCTTCAAATTAGCGTTCAAAGAACAGAAAGTAAACACTACTCAACAGAAAGAAAATGAGCACACCACAGCTAAACTGTTATTGGTCCAGATGCCCACTTGAGGGTGCTATGTCTATCTCCCCAACATCCCACAATCCCACTGGATGATCTCCTCCTGTGAGAGTGGACTCTAACTAGCATTATGCTACATGCAGCTTGCAGGACCATTCACCTGTACATGTCTGACGTGGGTTTTGATGAGCAGGGAAGGAAAGACGAACCAGCAGCACTCTTCAAATATCTGAGGAGTCATCAATCGTTCTCATTACCTCCTTGCCTTTTGCCAAAGTGATGCTCAAAGTCTCAAAGTCAAACAGACAATAGAAGACAGTAAAGCTTCAGCTGTTCCATAAAGCAGCATACAGCTGCTGACACTGTGCAGCACAGATGAGTGAGCTTGATGATGGAGCTGCAGAGGGATTGGTTATCCATTTGGCACACCACCTGAGTCAGGTTAACTGTGTCAGCAGGACAGGAGACAGCCCACACACTGATACATGAGACACTCACTGCAGACAGAGTGAAAGCTCCATTCATCCATATCAGCCTGTTTTCAGTGTGCTAATAAATGAATGGGCTGTCTGTGAACCAGAAAGCTCTCTGTGTCACAGTTATCTGGGACACAACTTTTACTTTCTACTTGACCCAACGATCCACATGACAATCTCTTCAATGTTTAAAAATCAAGGAAAAGCAAAAACAAAACAGCTACTACAATGAGGCAGTGAAAGTTGCACAATTAGTGTGGCCTCAGATCAGATCCTGAGAGCAAACACCACTGAGTTGCACTGATCTCAGTTCATTTGCCAAGACCTTGCGGCTAAAAAGCAATTATGACGGTGCGCCAGCAAACAGTGTCTGGTTCTGCAGGGAGCTTTTCAACACTGAGCAAACAGCTTGAGCTCAGCGGAAGGAACTTTCTACCAGAGTGATCTCTCTCTAAGTATACACCTATACTTTTAACCCTTGACCTGCAGGCTCTGAGTGGCTGGTGTTTCCGCATGAGATGGTACACAATGACACCCAATACCCACAACAGGAGCTCCTGTGACCTGAAATGCAACAAGGCTTTCCTTTCTCTGCCACAGGTCCTGGTCAGATACCCTGTAAGCAGGCCATCCTATCTTGACTATCTGGTAGAACAAAACTGTAGAACGTTGTGACAGTGCAGTATAGCATTGAATGCTTTTTTATGCAACTCTTTCACTTATTTGGGTGTTTGTTTCTATCTTCAACCAGCAATAAGAGGAAGTCAAAGTGATGGGCGTAGCAAAGGATGTCCTCAAGATAATAACCTGAGCATACTGAGAAAACCGAGAATGTCTTTATGTTCTCCGGTGCAGGTGTTTTAACATCATTGTACTTCCCCTCTTTTACTAATTCCCTGGTGTGCAGCTGACAGCAAAAATAGATTTCTTGAGAAAGAGTGTAAAGGCCAGTAAGTCACTATGTCTTGCAAAGCTGAGGGGTAATACCTTACTGTTCAGGAGAAAAAGAAAGTCAGGTCATGAGAACATCTCCTGGTATGAAATCTAAAGAGCAAAACCTCCCAGTTATGGAGGTGTTGGTACAGGACAGTCCGTGAAAAGGTTTTTTTGGACATGGCTGCCATCTGACACACCAACACTGTCACCATGAGGACTTCACACACCAGCAGGTCAGACCTACTGCGTGTTCACAACTTGCTTACTGTCATCCTACATATCTGAGATCCTGGCGTGTAGTGAAAACACTTTAACAAGTTAATACCAGAGACGTTATAAAGGCAACACTTGCCACGTACACCATGGCTACGCTGAACATGTAACACATGCAGAGCAGGATTCTCGGGGAACGTGTCTTTTTACTGGCTACACCTGCAGCAGCGCATGTACCCCACACAGGTGCAGAAGAACAGCATCTGATTCAGGAATTGTTTTGTCTGGACTCAGCTCAGCGCTCTAAAACAGGTTTTTCACTCAGTTTGTGTAACAGGGGAACGGTATTATTTACAGACTACGGTAGACGCTGAAAGGAATAAAGTTATTAAGCAACCTGGTACTGGCAAATGAATGCAGACGGGGTGATCAAGACGGTGAAGATCAAAAATAGTGTTTTCCTATGTACCATCTATCCACCCATCATCTATACACCACTTAATCCTCACTAGGTTTGCGGGGGGCTGGAGTCTATCCCAGCTCCCAGTCTCTCAACATGTTTCTGGACTGTGGGAGGAAGCCAGAGAACCTGGAGAGAACCCACGCTGCACGGGGAGAACATGGAGACTCCACGCAGAAAGATCCCGGGTGTCCTCACCGGGACGCGAACCGGCAACCTTCTAGCTACGAGGCACCTTGCAGCATCCTATGTCCAGGAGATTGATTTATTTTTTTACATTGACATTTTATGACTCATTTTATGTCACACCTACGGACAATTTAGAATCACCAATTAACCTCAACATGTTTTTGGAACTTGTGGAAGGAAGCCAGAGAACCCGGAGAGAACCCACGCTGCACGGGGAGAACATGGAGGCTCCACGCAGAAAGATCCCGGGTGTCCTCACCGGGAGGCAAACCGGCGACCTTCTAGCTACGAGGCACCTTGCAGCATCCTATGTACCAGTAGATTGATTATTTAATTTTTTTTTTTAATATTGACGTTCTGTGACTCATTTTCTGTCAGCTGAACCAGCATATATCCAGCCAATCATGCAGTTGCACTAATGCCAGCAAACTTTTCAAGTATTTTTTCTTAGAGTCTGTCCAGTAATTCTATAACTGCAAATGTCCCAGTGCACATTGAAATTACAGTTACAGCTTTCTCCCCATCTGTTTAGAAAGGAGCTTGAAATAATTGTTCGGCGGCAAAATATGTGCTGAGTGCCAAGATTTGTCTAGAAGGACATTGTTAATACGCTCTTAGCAAATAAGCATCAGACTGGGCTGCTTGGTCTTCTCTCCTTTTGTCATACTCAGCTTTCTAAGCACTTGTGGTTATCAAACGCCGCCCATGAAACGATACGAAACAGCTGAACAAGGAACATTGTTAAGATTATGGTCTCCCTCCTGACCAGACTTAGTCAGCAGATGTCTCTTGCATTCAGCTTCCTTCTGCAACATGTGACTGCTTTACAATATTAAATATTACTGATGAAACACTGTAAGTGGTGCACAAGGTGGTAAATGCAGCGATGTGCTGAATGTTTCCTAATAACACCTGATGGCCATTTCCATTTCCTCTTTCTGCTGGTAGAAAAAAAAAACAACCTAAGGCAACTTTACTGATCGCACTCGACACCATTTCATTACACATGCATTGCTAATGAGGTGAATTAAGTTTTAGACTCGTACTTTCAGAACAGAAGCTTGATGCTGCATGATTGGTGCATAAAAATATTTCACTCAGTGCAGCGTCTGTGTGAATCTAGGACAGTCTGCCAAATCTGATCTTTATCTCATCAGGTCAGAGCCTCATATGAAGTCTTAGAGCCACATACAACCGTTATAAAAGCACCTAAACTGGCTTTTACTCTAAAATTTAGGATCCCCAGGGTGATCGGGGCTCATGAACTTCACAATTTTTGGTAATTTGTTAAAATGGAATGACCAACTGAGCAGCTAATCAAACCCAGAATTAAACATGAGTCCTTTTTTTTTTTTGGTGCTTCCATGAACTCACAAACTCAAACACTAGATGACAGTTAAGTCTGTGAGGGTGTGGTGCTGAGGCCTCAGGGTGGAGACTGCGACTGGGTCAGTTAGCTGGAGCACCTCAGCAACCTGATGAGTGAGCTGAGCTGTACTAGGGCGAAACAACTAATCAAGTTTTTAGGTCAAAATATGAAACAATACTATCAGCAAAAAGCAACTCATCAATCAATCAAAACCTCATTCGTATTTGAACACATCTGACCTGGTGTTTAAATTGTGTCAGTGGTTTTACAAACTCGTACCGTCCTCCTTGTGTGACAGCCAAGCTTCTGATAGTATCTCAGGTAATAACACTCTGTCATATGTTTTAAACATACTACACAGTGAATCCTGCACTGAACCTGGACTTTAAAAAGTAATATTGCATATCAAATTACATTATTTGTCAAAAAAAAATCCCAATTAGATACTTTCGCCAAATCAATCAGCTCTAAGCAGTAGATAACCCCAACTTCCATGGTGAATTGATGCCTGGTCAGACTGGGACTGGGAGTTTTATGTACTAGCATCTGCTCTGAATACCAGCAGCTAACAAGCAGGTTCATTCAGAGTTACCTCAATGTGATAGCAAAGTGGTTAGAGCGCATACCGATTATCAGCCTGGTTGATTATCATGGCCGATATCTGGCATTTTTCTTATTGTCGCAGCCTCCACTAAATGTCTCGGATATATCTCTCGAGCAGACACCGCAAAAACCAAAAAAGAAACACAAGCCATCTCCACAAACCAAGAAACTAACAACTGTCAAAGTGGCTAAGGCGACGTAACACCTAGCGGCTAAGTTACACAGCAGCCACAAGTCTACCCTGAAACACAGTCTGGAAAATAATAATTAATAATAACGCTTTAAGATATGGGTCATAGTGAGCAATAAAAGTGAAAGAACAGCAAAAGAGTACCTGCAGGAGACAAACTGTTCAATCTGAGTCGATCCCACATAAACAGAGGAGAGCATCCTAGTTTAGTCACTCCTATTTTATATATTTTACATATTCAGTTGTAGTCAGCTTTTATAAGGAAGAAGACTTGTTATGAATAACACGTTCCCTGCTATCATATTCTGTTCAAATATTGCAGTTAATGTAGTTCCAAATATCGGTTCTAAGCCTTTTCTTGCCAATAATCAGCACCTGTATCAGCCCTGATG